GTTGTTATTGCAAATTAAAAAAAAAGTTGAGTGTAAATCCACAATAATTTTTTATGAGCGATTAAAATTAAAATGTTCACAAAAATAATTTTTGCTTTATCAAAAATATCTTAATGATATCATTCAAATATAAATAAATTATTATGATAATCTAATGATCTGAATTGATTTTTCTTTGGAATACGTTTTAAATTTTACTATTTACGGATATTTTATGTCTCATATTAAAACGTGGTTGTATTAGTTTATTTTGGTAATTTTTTGTTCTCGAAAAGTGTAATCATTTAAATGACGACTATATTATTATGTTGTCTACGCCACCGGCAAACGCTCAACTGGCCATTTACTATTATTTTCAATGTTAATACCTAATTGTTATAACAAATAATATTTGACAACAAATTGACTAATTATTAATAATTAGTAGATTACCATAATTTACCTTACCTATTGTATATGTTATATAAGAACTCGTATTTAATATGTATTATTTTCATATATTTTAACATGTTTATCTCTTATTGTCTCTATAATATCTATAATAATGATAATATAGGCATTTAAAACGTTCGGATATATTAATTTTTTTTCTTTATTTGTGAATAAAATATTTTATGATCGGTTAAAAAGTTTAAAATTGTTACGCGAAATTTCTCATAAGTTATATAAATTGTAATAACTATATAGAAATTTAAAAATTCTTAAAATGTATTAGAATATAGATTCAATTTTTTTACTGTTCTGAAGTTTAAATTTTGACAAAACGTGTGAATTTACAAACATTTGAAAATTGTTTAGTAGTAGATTCATATATTGAACATTTTGATACAAGGTCTTTGATAAATTAGTAACGGAGCATTCAAAAAACGATAGATTATTAATGTTTTATTTATTAAAATCAGTAATCATTTGAAAATCTAGTTTTAGCGATAATATATATTTAAATGAAAAATAATGATTTTAGTTATTGTTTCAATATAAAAAGTGGGCTATGATTTTCTAATAATTAATAAATTTAATGTATTTGATTTTTTATTGCATAAAATAAGTTGAACATAGAACATACTGTATAGAAAAATAAAGTACCTTAAAATTTAATTTTAAAATATGTCCTTAGATATAAAGGCTGACTTTTGTCTCCCCTCAAAATTGTTGTTTGTATGTAAATCATTTACCATTGCATTCGAATCTTAACACATCCATTATGATGACTCCATAATAAGCAGATCATTAGAAAGTAGTAAGATACTACTTATATACAACCGATCAAATTTCCCGCTTAAAAAAAAAAATCTATAAAATGTTTTATTATTTTTTTTTTTACGTAATGTTTTAAAACAATATTTTCTGGCCTTAAAGGTTTTTCGTCGGTTCCACAAAATAATACATTTTGTTTATCTAAGAAACGTAATACTATATGTTTATTCATATTTTCGTCTTTGACACAATATTTATGCGGTTTAAGTGCCTTTAATAATTTCAATTAATTGTGATCAGTTAAAGTGTATACTTAAGAAGCTTTAAAATATCGTCAAAGTTATCAACCATATTCTTGTAATAAGTATTATTTACTTATTTTGTATTCAAATTGTAAGTAAATGTTTTATACTTTTTTCTAAGACCATATTTTACAATAAATCAACTCACCTAGATAAATGTCATAGTACGGAAACCAGCTACTCATAGAAAATTAAATTATCGTCACCTGCTTAATAATGTGAACTATGTTTTAATTTTGTATTGACTAAATTTCATATTATTTAGTCATATAATCGTATTGTTAGCTAAAACGAAAGCACAAATGCAATTGTATTAGACATTTTTTAAAAACATAATCGTCTAATTCAATGTTTCCGTTTTAAGGTTCCATCGCCTGGATCAATCAAGATGACTCCCACCGAGATGGCTTTCTGGAGAGCATGTCTATCATTTGTGACATATATAATACCACTTAATAAGTATTTGAACAGAAAACCAGTGCGGTTATCTTTAACATCTCCTAAACCAACCACAAGGTAAGAAAAAAAATTGTTACGCATTAAAAATTATCATAAAACAAACACATATTTTTAATAATAAAAATTACTCTTAAAACTAAAGAAGATAATATATTTTATTCTAAAATAATAAATTAACCATAAGATGTTTGGTACTTAGGTCTGCGAGTAAATTTTTAAAGTTGGATAACTCCAATCGAAAGAAAATTGTTTTTTTCTCATTTTGTTGTTTTTTGTTTTGAATTTATCATACCGAAATTATTGCATCTTATAGTATAATACATTACGTGAGTTGATACTAAATATAACCCCAGAGAAAATTTTAAACGATGCAATAGACAATGAAAACTAGTATTATTTCACCCATATAATATCTCTAGTGACGCTAGACAATAAAAATGGGTCCTTGACATCTGTCCAGAAATTATAATTGGATCGGTAGCTCAAAGATTATTTCAATAAGTACCACTGAACAAAGTTCCAAGTATAATGACTGCGGTAATGAGTAATGGCAAAGAAATCAGTTCTCATTTGTCAGTAGATCGGGATTCAGGAGATCTTAATAGTCCTGTAAAAATAAACATTTAACTTTGGAATAATTTGCATAGAAAATTGGTACAGACCAGATGAGGTACTTAATAAGTTATAAACTTCATAACATATTTATTTTGACCGGACTATAAGCCGGCTTCCCGCGACTCATGGCTTGATTCGGCTAGAAGCTCGTGACTATACAGAGAAACTGTGGAGTGGGAACGCAAGTGACGAGCCTCGTGTTTCGCCTCACGCTGTACCAATTAGGTTTCACTATTACCACGTCTATACAACCAAACCTACAAGAGTCACCAGCTTCAAGTCACACGTCATAGGAAGCCGACTATTGCTCCTAGCCCTGCAGATGAAACAAAAGCTATATCTTGATAACTAATAAGGTCCAAGGGTGTAGATAGGTTTAACTCAGAACTGCGTTCGGAAGAGCTAGCTTTTTCGTTTCTCGCGAGGGCCGTGTCCACTATTATACTCGTACATAAAACTTATTTTGCCACGAAATAGTAGATAGTCATAGTATTATCTGAAACTCCGGACCAACCAGTGATTTGTCTGTTTTCAGTGGTGCGTCGGAGGAAAAGGAACAACAGGGCAAGAAGTTCAGACAATACGCAGCCGCGTTGTCCGGTTAGTACCACACATACTTAATATAATGATTTTATTCAATAATATTACAATTACTATCATCGTTGCATAAAAATAAAAAAATAATTAAAATATTTATTGAATTATTAATAGTCATAAAATCATTTTGAAATCTAATTCATCCCAATCGCCCAATATATAACACAATTGTTATTGTCATGTCCTTCAACTACGTGTTTACAAAGCCATAATTATGACCGACTATTTTTCATCATCTCCTCTACCTTCTCATTGCAGCCACGATCGGTCCGTTTGCTGTGGGCACTGTGCTGGCGTGGATGTCACCGGCGTTGCCCATGCTGTTGTCCGCGGACTCAAAGATCAAGATGACGGCTGATCAGGGGTCGTGGGTGGGTTCCTTGATCGCCATCGGTGCCATCTTCGGGTCAATACCGGCGGGCAGGACCGCTGACTTAATCGGCCGAAAACCCGTCATCGCCTTCCTGTCCCTGCCTTTCATCATCAGCTGGTCAATGATTTACTTCGCGACAGAGGTCTGGCATCTATACGTGGCGCGTCTGATTGCCGGCACCTGCCTCGGAGGCATCACCGCAACCGTCCCTATGTACATCGGCGAGATAGCCGAGAAGTCCATCAGAGGTAAGCGATCCTGTGCACAATTTGTTGTTATTATTTTGAGTGGTTATGTGATCGATTAGCGTTTGAATTTTTTGCATTTTTCATTAACCTAATTCTTAAAATTAGTCGTAATTCATTGTCGTTATTGGTATTTTTAATAAATATATACTGTATACCCGTGGACAAAAATAAAAACATATAATTATTATAATGTTTTGTCCCTCATTCTTTACTTACTGTCTTCTAACACTAAGTTTATGAATTAATACTCGACCATTTTCGTAAGGCATACAATTTTCTCACAAATAAATCATCATTTCTACTTATCTCCCATTTATTATAATCACTTTTCGTTGTATTATGAGTATCCATGGTAAAATATTATGTGTTATAATTAATATTTTTTAAACTATTCTAAAATGTTCACAAAATGTCAAACTATTATTACCTTTAAGGGTACGACGGGTACGTGTCACCTCAATAATCTTCTTTTTTATCGATCAAGGCTTTCCGGGAAAAATCAAACATATATAGCTGTTGAACAGTTATTGTTCTTTCGACAATATTTTTAGTCAACTGTATTATAATATACTAAACATTAATAATATCTGTTTTCCCCATATTAATCATAATATTATAATATCATATCAAATTGCAGGATATAATCATATACTAATTGACATGTTAATATATTTGTATATAAGACAAACGCTCTTATGTCATACGAAACTTTTATACGTCTAAACTTCTTACATTTTCTGCAGGTGAGCTGACCTCTTTCGTTCAGGTAAACGTGACGCTTGGCATATTGTACGTTTACTTGATCGGTCCGTTCGTGAATTACGCGGGGCTGGCTATCATGTGCGGCATATTACCTGCTATCTGGTTCGTCCTGGTACTGTTGGTGGTGCCAGAATCTCCAACGTATCTTTGGCGATCCGGTAAGAGGAAGGAAGCAGAAGATGTGTTGATTATCTTGCGTGGCAAAGACTACGACACTTCCGACGAGCTGGCGGCGCTGCAGAAGGATCTCGAGGAGAAGAAGCCCAACAGCAAGTTATCGGAAATGATAAAATCCAAGCCCACGTTACGCGCGGCATTCACAGTTTTGGGACTGCTTGGGTTTCTGTCATGTTCCGGTATCAACGTGGTAATATTCTACGCCGAGTCCATATTCAAGGGCAGCAACAGCATGATTTCCCCGAAAGCCTGCTCCATCGTCATCGGGGTCCTTCAAGTGAGTACTCAAATGGCAACTGTGTTTATTGCAATCAATTGTATGAAGACACTTGTTTTATCAAATATTTATTTTAATTTTAAAATCTAGGATTATATGCTTTGTAGAAATTAGCATTGACGCGTTATCGCCATCGATCTTACTCATAGTGTACAAGTATAGTCTACAGTTGCTAATTCGACTTTTATATTCTAAAATCCTAAGTAAATGTTACTGTTTAAATTGTTCTATTTTGAATTAATTTTTTCAAATACCTAATGACGACCGAAACGTACATTTAATTCAATAAAAATTATCTTGATCTATTCAAACACGGGGAGGACTACAGTTTTCTTACCGTTTTGGCGTTTTCGACAGTATTTTATGCAAAGCAATGATATGAGAATTTTGATTGTAACCACATATTAGGTACATGTATTATTATTATTATGTCCGAAGAACGACAAAAAACTGTCATACATTTGTAGGACATAATTTTACTTACTATTTATTATGTTGAGATATTATAACATCGTGTGTGAATGATATAAATCGATCAATATTCTATAATATTCTATAATATCTTTCCACATCCTTCTCCAACTTCACATAGTATTAGAAATCATATAACGACAATATTGTCCCACACAGGTCATATTCACTTTCGCGTCCTCGCAGCTGGTGGACAGGGCTGGCCGGCGGGTGTTGTTGCTGATCTCCGATTCGGTGATGGCCATGTGCCTCGGTTCCCTGGCCTTCTACTTCTATCAACAGGAGCGCGGCGTCGACGTGTCTGCGTTCAGTCTGGTGCCGCTCATCAGCTTGGGAATTTATATCAGCACCTTCGCGCTGGGTTTCGGCCCAATACCGGGGGTCATGATTGGAGAGCTGTTCAGCCCGGAATTCAAGGGACTGGCGATCGGCATCGTGTGCGTGCTCGCGTCGTTGATTGAGTTCTGCGTTGTCAAGTCGTATCAGACCCTGTTGAATCACTACAACCGCGGTGTCACGTTCGGATTATTCGCTTGCTGTTGCGTGGTGGGCACCTGTTTCGTGTTCTTCCTGGTGCCGGAGACAAAGAACAAGTCTCTACAGGAAATCCAGGAGGAGCTCGCTGGCAAAAAGAGGACGGCCAACCAGACGCAGGTTGTCAGCGTTTAGATTGCCTGAACTAATATTTTATATTCGGTATTGTTATATAATGTACCACCACTCAAACACGTTGTGATCCACGACTAATATAAATAATTAAAAAATGTAATTACAAATTACGGTTGTTATATAGTTTTTTCTAACTGTTCAGTGCTACATTAAAATATTTACTGTTCCCTTTGTTTCATAGTACAATAATACCGATCTGGACATCGAGACATTTTTAAAAGTAACCACTGAATTTATTATGCATTCCCGGAATTGGTTGAATAAAAAATGGCGCTCCAGTGATAATAATTAGTGGTGGTTTTTTGGTACATATTATCAAATAGTCCACAGCTCAATCATGCTGTGTATGCGATTTTATAATATTGCCGAATTTCAATTACCATAAACGTATCGCAAAAATTACCACGGGATCCTAGCCGCCGCCATCACTGCAATAATGATGATAAATATTAAATCCTACAAAAAAATGTATTTTTTGATATACCTTATAACCTAAAAAAAATTGGTAATAGTAATTTATGTAACTATCAGATTGTCTCACAGAAAATGATTAGGTGCATAATATTTTTCATAATTTATTTAAAATATTTAAATGAGAAAAATTTTAAATGTACAAAAATGTTAAAAATTAAATTGCTCATAAGTTGCTTCAAAATTAAAATATAAAATAATCTCATGGATAAAATAATTAATTTTATTTCGTTAACCTCCAATGCTCTTTCTGACCTTTCACTTCGGAGAGTATAATATGAGGACTATTACGAAGAAGTGTTGAAAGTCGTTATCAACAAGGGGATGTATAGATTTCTAGACAAAATTAAGGGTGAGAATATGAAATAGTTATAAAATTGCGATTTACACGATTAAATAATTTGAAACCCACTAATTGGCGCAATAGCGCTATGTAACATTATAAAATATTATTACTGTATTCATTACTGTGCAACTGTACTGCAAACATGAAAAAAAATCTATTAATTGAGCTATTCAAATATTTACTTAAAGTCGAAACCAACCACGAAACTCTTTTGTATAAATTCTTATATATTTTTTCCCTGTTGTCATAAAAATATTAATCGAATCAAAGCTACTCTACCACACATTGCCTGTCTGAGTTTTCGTGAAATCGGATGTACCAATTTCGTTATCCACAATTATTTTATTATTATTTAAGTTATTATTATCGTGTTCATTATTGAGTTTAATATATACATTAACTGTTTAAACAATAGAGTTTGTATTTATAAACATTAAAAGTTAATTTCAATGTTTTAAAATACATTTAAAAATGTATCTAGCTAAAAATGTAAAAAAATGATTTTATTACTAAATGATCATTTTTATACAAATTATACTATAGAATAAAATATTAGTTAAAATGGAGAATAATTAAATTACGTACTTAGATTAGTAAATAGCACTTATTTTCTAAAAAAATTAGCTCTAATTATTTAATTTTAAAACTACTTCTTTGAATGAATTCAACCAGCCGCCATATTACTAATTATAAGATTATTTACTTTAATAGCATTAATATCAAAAAATATGAGTCACAATCATTTTGAAACGTTGTTGCTTGTTGTGTAGTACGTTAAGCATACCTACTAGTTTAAATAGGCTGCTCTCTTTTCGGCCAGTACAGTTTTCTTGAAATTTCCAATTACAACAACTGAACTTAGCAATTTAATTAAATATGATGGTATCCAAAACTGTGATTTTCAAATAAAAATCATTACTTACAATAAAATAAAATGGTTTAACATCATAATACCTTAGTAAAATTAAAAAAGTTGATTTAACTACTTTTATAGTTTTAATTTTGTAATGCACCTAAATTTAATTTCCTTCTTAATTGGTTTTTTGGAAATAAAGATAATCCATTGTTTTTCTTTGTTTGATATAGTATAATGTAAAATGCCACCTAATCAGTTAAAATGATGTGTCCAAAGTATACGGAACCTATACACTCTATGGGCAATAGAATATAGTACTATACTACTATAGATTAATGCCAAAATATTTAGTGATGGCATCTCTCCACTTTTTAAAATTCACATTTTCCAACCCTCCATTTATTTTGTTCGGCTGTTTAAGCAATATATAAGAACTATTATACATTATGAGAGGCATCCCTCCACATATTTTGAGCCACGTCGACAATAGTGATGGACAATCATAAATCGAAATTCTAAATCACATAAACATATCAATATATCATCCGTATTTGTTAAAGATAAGCACAATATTGTTACAACAGAATTATTTACAGATGTACGCCAACATATAACATAGATTGTAATGTACGCATGCGTAAAGTGTAACGCATCAGTAATGATACTCAGGCACGTACACAAAAAAAAATTCCTGGGGGGTTCATAAACAAATTGTCACCGACCAGTTATTGTAGTTATCTAGGACTAGGATTGATATACCATTTTACGACCAAATCGCCACCATTTTACGTTTTTAAATTTTAGAGAATATGTAGTTTCGCATTGTTTTAATAATTATTAATTTGATAAGAGATAAGATTTTTATACTTACTTTTGGTACTCATTTTTTCTGTTAAGCGGTAATTACATATTTTGATTTTTTTTTTACATATTTCAATAAAAATAAGTACATACTTATGTACATATTTTGATTTTCTTATTACAATAAATTCCGTTCCCTAATTATGAACAATAAAATACTAATCTAGCAGTAATGATTATGCTTATTATATTTTTCATAACAAGGTTTTGTAAATTCAATGCTAAGAAGGTGATCTTGTCATTTCTATATCAACAAGAATTTCATCAATATAATATGGAATTTTATCCAACTGAATTTTTCAGGTGCCAGTTACACTGCTGCATGGCAGGTATTTAGATAGCCACCATGGAGTGCTGGCGGAAAACATGTAGTCGCGTATGACTTACTCACTCACGGACTCGCGACGCACGGGGAACATATTTCCATTTAGTCGGTACTTGTAATTGTTTACGGTTACGGCCACAGCCACCGCAGCAAAACAGTATCCTTCCGGCACTCAGGACTCGCCTACCTAGTGCGGACAGGAATGACCTACGTATAGGTGCAGGCTGTTTTTCCGTTGCTTCTATCTCATCCTCATCGATACTTATCACGTTTATCTCCTCCTCTTCCTCCAATGACACAATATTTTCCTCTTCATCAAATGGCAAGATTTCCTCTTCAGCAATTGAAAAGATTTTATCATCTTCCACATCGGACATCATAATTGGCTCTGAGAGCGATGTACCTGACGGCCACTTTTGCTTTAACTCTGGAGGGCACAATTTATCTTCATTCACTGACCCCGCTAAATCCGAATACGAGGCCGACCTTAGGACCGAGTCTGACAGCCACATCTGGCTTAAATCTGATGAGCCTAATTGCCTTTTGCTGCTTTTTGCTGACATCAGCTCCGAGTGCAATTCCGTCTTTGGCGCCGATTCTGTTGGCAATGTCTGCTCTACAGTTAGGGGCTGCAGTTGTTTATCGTCCGATTCGCACTTAAGCTCCGAATGCGAGGTTGAAGAAAGTTCTGACATCGATGGCATTGTCTGATTTTCTATGTTTGGCTGCACCAATTTTTCATCGATCGTGGCACACTTAAGCTCCGAATACGATGCTGACCAACGTCCCAAATTCGAATTCTGCTTTAAGTTAGATGGCAGAGATTGTTCATCGTCGGTTGGCCACTTTACCCCCGAGTTCAATGATGAGTCCGATGGCCACACTTTCTCAACGTGTATTGATGATAAGTCCGAAGGAGGTGTTTCAGGTCTCAGACTTTGGTCCGATTCTGAAATAGATTCCCAGTCCCGTGGCACCTCCCTGTCCGATGGCCACTGCTTCTCCAAATCCAATGACCACAGAAACTCAGACTGCGTTTCCGAACTAAATGACGTGTTCATTCGTTTATCCNAACTTTGACCAGAGGCGCGATGTTAAATTTGGATCAGTGTTCTCGTCAGTTTTCCGTTTGTCTGGGCAATTTTTTTTCACGCTGAAATAATTGAGCGTGCTTACTGCAACTATTTCTGCAGTTGTCTTTTCTGGTAAACGCACATCCGAAGATCTGTGCCGACATTCGTCTTCGTCCGAAGAATCGTCGTCGTCCGAGTCACATGACGCAGATGAGCTGTTGCGAATCGGCACCAAGTACTTGCTCCTTATCAAGGCCAAGCGTATCTCTTCGAACAGCTCGTCCAGCGACCCTGTAATTTCAGCTACCAATGGTCCCTTCTTTGTAAAATCCGTTATCGTTGTATCTCCTTCATTCAATCCAGTTTCCGTATTCATTTGCGCATTAACCGCGGTGGTGCTACAGTTTGATATAATCGACCTTTGGGACGCGCACCACATGCTCCCAACTGCCGTGTCTAGGTCATCCGAATTCCCGGAACTTGTTATGTTTGTTTTGTGTTTTGTGTTCATTTTTTTTGGAATGCGTTTATACCTACCGCGAGGTTTTAAGAGATTTACTAATAGCTAGAAGGCTCTCTCCGACCTACAATAGATAATAATTAGTATAATATAATATAATATTATAAAAAGACAATAAAATAATTATTGAGACAGAAAAGTTAGATGTGAAATCTAAACTATGCTGAAGATGAAAGTGTAGTGTTATATTCCTGACAGTACGAACGTATTATAATAAACATTATAGCAAATATCTCCTGGACAACGAATAATACTCAATGTGACTATTGTAGCCGGTTCATTTTTTTCGAAAGAGAATATGATATAACATAGATACCTAATTCATTTTAAATTAATTTCTTGATTTTTAAAAACACATAAGACGTGTGTATGTATAATCTGTGCCAAAACAAAAACCAATATGTAATTGCTCGTCATCTAAATATTAATTTTGGTAGTTTTCGACATGATAAAAAACGAAATTACATAATATTATGTAATCTGCAATACACTATCAATTTATATTGTTGGAATTTCCCGATGTTCCCGATGAATACATTGTCTGGCTTAAAAATGTAATACAAGGCTCCTTATAAGCAGTCAATACAGCTGTAACCAAAAACTCACTGATCATTATAATAGAATAGGCAGGCATGCGAATCATAGACCTCATAAACATTATATCGATGATGTAAATGCAATGTTTTTTTCAATAATATAACCATAGCACTTAATTCTCTATGGATTAAACGGGGTGATGAGCATGCTGTTTAATCAATGGTATTACTCTATGGCAGATAATGTGTTATCATTAATCAAAATCGCATTGTTTTGTAATGAATGTAAGTATACCTACTATCTACTTGGCTACTTAACAAAAGACGTGATCCGTCTTCTGCCTACATACAAATCGTATTAGTTTGTTGCATTCACGCTGGTAAGCATTACATCGGCTTAATGAATAATAATATGACGAATCTACTGTTTTACCCGTGTATTATAATATCATATAATTGTGAATATAATATTAGTGTGTGGAAAATTTAGATTTATATTTTGGTTTTCCGGGACGGCTATAATGTGTGGATGGAACCTATCACCGAACGCTGTTCGAAGCCTCGGCAACGGTACCCATTCGACGCTTTTTCATTTTAAATAATTTTATGCTATACACAATACACTAATCATTTTGAACTCGTTTTCAGACACTGCAACGGCCTTATGACATAATATTTAGCTGGTATTAAATGTAATTATTATACACCAACCGCGGTTGGTTATTTATTTTTAAATTTAATTTATTTCAAGGCTCTTTATGATATAGTATTTACAACCACAAAACCACGACTATCCTCTTAAGTAGTCGGTAGCCGGAACTCGGATGCGGGAAGGGACCAGTGTTATAAATTACCCTATGGATAGAAGTCGAACTACTCTGCCTCTAACTAGGGCGGGGGTTTGGATATTTAACCCACCTACCTCTATTGACATTTTTTGCTCTAATAAATGTATTATGTATGTAAGAAAATTGTAAAAATCTTGGTTTAATACTTAGCCCCCCTGCTCACACCCTACAATTCATAACCCTGGAAGTGGACAGGATGCTCAGTGCTCGCTCACGAGTTACTAGGTACTCACTCGCAAGGCGAATAGAATGGAATATCTTTAATCTTGCTCGTAAAGTTAGTATTGACTTGCGGGCGGCTTCGCGGACTAAGTTTATGTGAAAACAAATAGCTGTGTACATCATTGACATTTGTGTGATTTATTTAATAAATTACAATAATTACATTCATAATTCATATGGCCGTCGACGAACTGTTCCGTACCTATATCACATTACATAGTTGCAGAATTATTTGTGTTACTACTATTTAGTATTTACCAACTGAATAGCTAATAAGTAATAACTAATTTATATATTCTTACTCAATCGATTTTTTTTCTTATTATGTAATTATAAATTAACATGTGCTTTTGTGTACCGATTACACTGTATGTGTATTTATTTATGTATCTTAGTTCTTAGATAGTAATATTATTGTAAATTGTATAAAGTTATAACATAAGCAAAAACAATAGTCACATGATTTTATGAACGATAAGAAAAAATTACCGGATAAAAAACATCTTGGTAAAATTGAAGTAAATTATTCGGTAAATTTACTGAATTCACATCCTCTATACCCATGGACATACTAGCTGGTATCCAGAATCACAGTCACTGCTGCAGCACTCCAATGGTATACTTTTGTACAACGATACCGTCGATACCTAATGCATTACCATTTACCGTAACACACAAGGGATATAAATTGAGTATATTATTATTAGTTATTACTATACGTATCTTATTAATTTAGTATTTAAATTTTAAATATAATATACTCAATAAAAGGAATATAGGATCAGTATATATGAATAAGCGCGAATATATAGTTACATATCTACTGATAATAAGGAATTTCACTATTTCAGTATTATAATATATAGTATATTGTATAAAATACTGAAGTATTGTCAAATATACTGTTCAGATAGCTATTTCAATATTATATAATGGCATTTTGGCATTTCGATATTATACGATACGTATATGTACATCCATTATCCATACCTATTCAAGCTGTATTTCAGAAATTATATTGGTGTATTGTGTATAGGTATTGAAGAAACTATCAATTCTGCATTTCTACCCATAGTTCATGCATATTATGGCCGAGCTGGTGAACTATGTTGCAGACAGTAGTCCACATAAAAATTGTTATGCTTCAGGTTTATCAACTCAATTTGTATGATAATTAATAATAACTACTCCGAATAATATTTTGTTTGTAGAGGAAGACGCAACCACTCAACAAACAAATAAAATATAAATTATTTGTAAAAACCGTGTCGTACAAAAAAAATCAGTAATAACCACCCTACTGTCACATACCACAAGTAATAAGAATATAAAATATACACCTACACAATAAACGAATAAATATTTTGCTATGAATTTTAGTTACTTAATTATAATTGTAAGTGGTTCTTCTTAGCGCTAAACCGTTTATACAAATTTGATGTAAATTTATTACAAGGTTCCTCATATAGGTACAACCAACTTTTCATACTTCAATTTCAACGTATCGAAAATATATAAAGTCACAATTTTGTTTATGAATTAAAATTGCTATGAAATTCACCAAAATCACAAATATATGTACATATCTTATTATCTTAATAATAATCACCTGTGAAATAAAAATAACTGTATTTTAAAATATATTTAACAACAATTTTTTTTCCAAGCATGTAGAAGTTTTATGACGATTACAAATGTCTGCTACAATGTAAAACCGTTTCACATTTGTATAAATTGTATTCAGTAAATCTGTATACGTATATTTTACTGGAAACAATTTGAAAAATGCTCAAATAATACCTGCAGTAGTGTACACAACAATTATTTATATTATACTTAGGGTTTTGAATTTGAAATATTTCAAAATTGAAAATTTCACTCTTCTTTGATTATTTCAATGAAATTGTGAAAAATATTTTTTCTACTTTTAAACGCGTTTGATTATAAGTAGATTATTATAAGTAATATACTGATTAGTTAATACACGCAGAAAATATTGATGCTGAATAATTTTTCAGTTATCAATCATAAAAGAGGTTTGTTAAAAAACATCAAACATTTTTTATAAGAGTTTTAAAATATTTTATGTTAATGAATTGGCTTATGAGTTTCTAACTTTTGAGTTAAAATGCGAGTTAATTTAAAATGTTGAAAAATGTTATATTATAGTTTTATTTTTTTGGACAACTTATATTTTATAATACCTATGTTTCATATTTTCTTGGTTTTATACAATAAAACGAATGTTAATAATGTTCATTTTCTTTATTTTTCATAGAAATGAAATATTTCAAGAAAATGAATTTCATGAAATTTTAAAACATTGATTATACTTATAAAATAATTGTTTACAATTTTTTTTTTAATTTTAGAATAATTATAAATGTATAAACAATTTTGCTCAGTGTTGCTTTGCGAATACCTACAATACCTATACATCGTTGTACATGCGCATACCTGCCTTGTTTGAGTATTTTTCAAATTGTTTTCTGTAACATGTGATTCACACTGCAACCATTACAATGTATAGGACCATCATTCATACATCTGTAATTAAATGTAAAATATACAATAAGTCGTTTTCTGAATATTCATTAAATTTCTGTTAAGAGTATATGACATAATATTATTAATACGTTTTTGTGGCAATATTCTTTTATTGATTGATTGATTTATGCTTATTATAAAACTCTGCGCGGAACATTCCTAACATTACTTACAATAAATATTGTAGATGCTTGAAAATTAAATTTAAGATATAACATCATTGGCTTAGAAAATTATTTAAATAAATTAGAAAGACATTTTTAAGAATTTATCGATTGCTTACAATTTATAATTGATAAAATGATAACATATCAACATTTAAACTTAAAATAACCCCTTATTATCTCAAAACAGTGACTTGAGTTACTTCCTCGTTGAAAATACTATCGATTTTGTCAATGTAGAATAACCACGACTTTAGGTATTTGTACGGACGTAATTGATGAATAAAAATAGAATTAGAATTATTATTTTTATAATTGTAGAATATGCTTCATTTATGGAACTATCCAGAAATATGCAGTTAATATGCATTATCATTCAAAAATGCAAAAAAAAATGAACCATAGAATCCACACATTACGAAACGTCAAAATGTATGATCAAAATATTATTCTATGTGAATTGTAGAAGAATATGTATTTCCATATAAATTCGGGACCTAATTATTAGTATTCAATTATATAATGGAAAACTAAAAATTTCTATCATATTATTACCATAGTTTGTTGATTCTTTGGACATTCACGATACCTTTAGTGCCATAATATAAATTAATTTACGTTGTACCAACTTTATGCAATGCTGTTCTGCCTAACATTGTCCATGCCAGAGATTTTTTTATATGTATTATAGGTATGCCATATTTTTACTATATAATTATAACATTATAGTAAGTTATGTAATATGTAACCTATGGCAATCATTTAAATAAACAATGTGGAATATTATAGCATGATATAACCTTTTTATGAGTGAACGTGAACCCTATAGGTAATTTAATGGTATTATGCGTCATGGGACAGTGAACGAGTTGTAGGCATGAAGCTTGAATATTATACTATTGGTAGTAGGTAGTTATAGAAAAAAAATATTAAAAGTAGGCTTTCGTCGCAAAATATGGGTGTGACTTCAATAAATTTAAATCTAGACATGAAAATAAATATTAATTAAATAATAAGACTTGTAAGTTGTAAACTTTAAATGTTGGTAGGTAGTAGGTACATCATAGGTATTATATTATTTATATTTTGTATTATATTATAGAGTTGTAAGAGTTGTTGCTACTATAGATCTTATAATAAATGTAGATCGCACCTTTTAGTAAATTAACTAAACTACATGTCTAGTGTCTACCAACCCTTCTAAAAGTGAGATAGAATCTTCGAAGCAGTATCTTATAAAGAGTTAGGAGCGCCTCACTCCCCATAGTCACCCACTCACCCCTTTGTATAGTTATATCTATCCCTGATTGAACGTCCCAATATTTTTTAATTGACATTCTGAAACGGTGCTCAGTGATGCGTACAACATCTTGGTGTACATAGATTTAAAAAAAAATGTTACATGATTTCATATATTCTTTTACTTAAATAAATCATATGTATCAAGAGTACTGGCAAATAATATTGATGTTTTGAACAAAAAAACTCATACAACTGCCATTAAACTATTAAAGGCACAATTTTTCTTTCTATAAATTCCATGAATTGTTTTGATCTATACTTTAAATGTATGAACTGTGTTATTTATCTTTTAAACAGTAATCCAATCAACCAAATGAGTTTCAGCCATCAACAACAATTTCCTACTAGTTTCTACATATTATAAAAATGAATGTTCTTTGTTTGTTGCTTGTAGACTCAAAAACTGCTGGGGGAATTTAATAAAAGTTACCAAAAAACTTGGACAGTCTTTGCTTCGATAGTATTTGATTTATTTTAGTTTATACCGTCTAGTATTAATAATCAATTAAATCTATTATAATATAATTATTTAAATTGTGTATATTACACTTTTTTAACCAATGAGTGTACATTATATATTATAATTTATAATCAATTAAAAATAAATTGTATGAATGGCTCATAGATCAAATTTTAAATAAACAATTTAATATTTTATTGACTCAAGTATAGTATAGATTAAATGACATTTAATATAAAATTACTTATAAGTACCCTTCTTGATATTAAATTATAATATCAATGCCCAATGGTAGTATTAATAATAAAGTGTTTGGAAGAAACCTTCGAATGGGCCTCAGAATAAGATTGATCATGGCAAACAGTTGGATATGGAAGCTGAGAAGAGGAAATAATAATAATTTAAAAAAATAAGTTAATTAAAAATATTTTTTATTTTTATCTGTTTTCAAATTATTGTACTAGAATACTAGATGAAGCTTTTAATCTATTTCAATTAAATTACTAACAATTTGATTTATAACATTTTCATCACATAATGAATCTAATAATCTATGAGTTATATCAGTATTTAAATCTGATTTTAAGGAACTTGAAGTATGGTTATGTCTATGATATGTTGTGTCAAGCTCTACCTTAGACAAACATTGATCTGGTTCATATACTTTATACTGGTATTTTATGAGCGTAGTTGAATCTGGTTCTTTTGAATCTGTTATATTTTCTTCATTTTTTATCTAAATAACACAAAAAATTAATACAAAAAAACTATGAAATTTTTTTTCTATTACCATTTTAATGCTTTGGTCGATAAAATTAATTGATTCTGCAATCATGGACGGTGAAAATATCTAAAAAGTAAATAATTTAAATTTTAAAATTGTATATAATTTATAATTATTATTTATAGTCAATAAAATACTTATCAATTACTTCATTCGGATTTAGTAATCTTGATTGAATATTCTTAGACACACCAGAACATAAACTGCTTGCCATAAAACGAACCACAGACTCCTTTAACCGAGCCATGTTGTCATATTTAGGAGTCTGAATCCAAGTATTAATACTAACAGCAGTTGTTAAGTTTTCAACATAATGCCACCATTTATGTGGAACGATTAGAACATCTCCTGGTGATAAAACAACTGTCACACATCTACAAGCATCATCAATATCTGAAACGTGAAAGATTGTAAAGAATACATAATTTACAGTATGTCAAATAATAAACCTACCCTTAATATTGTCTGGACATGAAAAGTTAATTTTACTATAACAGCTTGACTCTTCATAAGGCACTCTAGAAGGCTTCAAATATTTTCCCATTTCAGGTGGCATAAGAATCCAACGTTTTCTACACAATAATTTAAGTTTAAATTCTATAGTCATATTTAACATTTAGCAAACATTTAATAGTTTATGTCAAACAAACTGGCTCTGCCCACCACATTTTTTAATTTTAGAAAATTTAACAAAAAATCTTTTTTTGTTTCTATTTCCACTAGCTGTAAATCAGCCAATTTTTGAGATAGGAGAAAAATGTATGCATACAAGTTGCTTATAAAAAATTGATCTACCCAAATTAGTTTTAAAAATACCTGTTAGTATTTGAAAAAATGCAAGTTGTATTGCGCATGCGCAGACTGAAAGAGTTAAACAATTTGAAATTTGTCAAAATATGTGTATTTCAGTATTTTATATACCCCCTTAAAAATCCCATTTCAATCCAACGTTACTGAACAGAAATATTTCGTGTTACCATTTGAGTGAAACACACTGTATACCAAGAAACAATTTTTTGTGTGAATTAATAACAAGTAATTACACGAAAGTAAAAAAAAAAGACTGTGTGGCAGAATCATAATATGTAAATAATGAAAATGCCTTTTCGTGGTATTATTTTAACTTTTTAATTTGATGAACTATAAAAAAATTATGAGTTTATTGAGTGATTGCTTAATTATGAATTGTGTTTGTATTTCTTGGCGGCAGAGCCAATAACCGCCAGTTTGTTTGACGTCAACTCTTGTACACAGTAAACTATTCAATATTTTATAAACAAAAATAGAAAAAAATTACATTTAAATTAAAAAAAATATCTTGCTTTAACTAAAAAAAAAAAATTGTAGTTACTATTATAATGTTATCATCAATAGCAAATAATAACTTATTATTTATTATAGTGGAGCAATTTTTTTTTTATTGTAGAATATTAAAACAAACTCATAATATCTTCTATACGTTTTATATCAAATTTTATTAACCAACTAACTTTCCATGAACTTGAGCCACTAAATTAATACCATACAAATCTTGATGACATGGTGTATGTGCACCAATACTTCCAATCCACAAAGTTGAATCTTTTGGACCTAAATTTTCATAACCAAATTTTTTCCATGATATGGACTAAAATTAAATAAACATATTTATTATTCAACAGTTTTTTAAGGAATTAAAAGGAACTAACTTTGAATATGTTTTCATTAACTGTTTTTCCAATGTGCTTATAATCAAAATATAACCAATTTCCACTGTTTTCAATATCTTTTGACATGTTTATAACTTCGCTAAACGAATGACTTTCATACAAACACTTACTTTCCCATAAAGGTTCCTGCCAATAAATAAATTAAAATAATTAATTATGTTCACATTATTATACTTAATTTAATTTACTTTAGTACACGTAATTCTTCCTTTTCTGCAGTTTAATGACTGGTGTTCAAATATACTGTTCCATTTGTCCAAATTCCATTTAAACAGTTCCCAATCATCTAACATATCATTAAAAACTATCGGAACTCGAGATGATTCGATAAGGTTTTTAATATTATCCATAATTGAATCTGCAAAGAAAAAATACTAGATAGAAGTATTGTTTGTATAATAAATTATTATTTATGTTAGTTCAACTACACTGACACTGTATGTACATTTTCTATTGAAATTGAAAACAAAGATAGTAGGGATCCACTATCTAACTACTATTTTTTTACAGTTTTAAATCAAATAGTGTACAAAAAATACAACTTAGCTCACAAACATCATAATCTCAAAAATACAGAAAAAAACTTTTATTTAGGTAGTTGTCAAAAAATAAAAAATATTATAGCAAGTTAAAACAAACTTTTAGATGGAAAAATAATAATCCAAATATGTTCATTCTTAAAGTAAAAAATATAAATAAATTTTATATTTTTGTAACAATGTACATTTGCGAACAATTTGTTATAACCGTCATTAGTCTATATTTAATAAAAAATACCTATAAAGGAGATAGTTATAAGACAACAAATAAACTATCATGTACAACCGTGATAAAGTATTGCGAAGAGAAATAATAAAATACTTAACTACTTTAAACTGATGCTTACCCTATAGTTGTATTTTAATTTTAGTAAGTTTATTAGTAATTATGAATTGCATTTAGTTTCAAAACTTTTTTATTAAATGATCAAAAATAATTTACTAGAAATGTATTTAAAACATTTAAATAAACTCAGCAGCCAGCAATGATTTTACATCACTGAGATCTAACTTTGAGCAGTAACTTGCAGGTTCCTATGTCTGAAAGTGAAAACTGTAATAATTTATGATTGTTAATTTACTATATTTATTTAAAATTGTAAAAATATCAATACATCTTAGTTTTATTGTTAATTCGTGATCAGTGTACAATCCATAATAGTATTTAAATATATTTGTATTGCAATACAGGTGGAGATTCTAAGTACAGGTAAACAATTTAACATTTTCAAAATAGATGTACTCTGAATGGCAATAACTGAATAAGTTTGACCAACCCCTGTTTTTCATCCTATTAGGTTATTGGTTACAGTTTATGGGAATAGTTATTGATGCAAAGTCGAATAAAGAAAGCATAAATATCAGAACTAGAAACATGGCCGTTATTGGGGAAAATGACTTACTTATGCAGACTGCAATTGTGTGTTAGTTGTTTTTATGATATTCAAAATACTTCAATGTATTTTTTTTTAATCAGAATTATATATTTTCATAAAAACTTAGTTTCGTAAATAAATCAAAGTTTTACTCATTCTAATAATATAGTGATTTGTACGAAATTAGCATAACGTAAGATTGAAGTAGATTGTCATTAGTTATACAAAAACTATACCGTAAACTTTATCTAGAATTCAAGAAATTAGAACAAATATCAAAAAGCATAAAACAAAATTTGCAATATAAAATAATAGTGAATAGTGAATGAGAATCCTGAATTACCGAATCAGTTTTCAATTGATAACAGAAATCAGTTCTAATAAGTAATATTTGAATTTGGACATCTAATCTACTATCATTGAACAATAAGATCAAAATATCTATATTTAGTATCTACCATAAATGATAGTAATTTAACTCCATTTTGAGTTCATTGACTCTCAGATCACAGACAAATTATTGTTATGTTGGCACTCAGATAACTAGATGAAAACAACTTGTAGAAAACTAGAAAATGTTAGATTATAGAATTTACTATTTAGTATGTAGGCATGAAGTATTCACAATTAGCATAAATTTAAAAATATTCTAAAACCAATGGTACTACTGTACTAGCCACTAGAATGTTATATAATAACTATACTAATCTATGCACTAGAACCAGGCAGCCGTGGAAGTTGTGGCTTGTAGTAATTATTATTTTTTATGTAGTTACGAGTTAGGTCGTTAAGAGTTTAAGACTTGGGAGTTGGTAAGAACTGAGAATAGTATTAAAAAAGAAGATTAAAAATTAATCATGTTTTTCGTAGTTTGTTCATAATTCATAACTCATAAGTTGCAATGTTGCATCATATAGGCCAATTATTTGTTAATATTTAATTGCTTGTTTCAACTTCCAAATTAAATTTTAAATGGTTATGTTATTACATTGGTATTTATAATCAACTCTTGAAATTCATAAGTCAAAAACACTTGGTAAAATAAAGAACACATTTTCAATTAACTGAAAAGTTATAATTTATTTGAATAAAATGCAATAACAATAAAGATCAGAAAACATTTTAACATCATATATACATAATATATAGTTAAAAATAATTTGTATTCTTTCTTATTGTAACAATAACAAACTTTTACCTGAAATTAGGTATTGAAATAATCACAGTAAATCTTTTTAATGTACAATTTTCCACTCATTAAATGTTTTGAAACACATTAAAAAGAGACTATTAAAAATAATAAGTTGTATTCTCTATTAAAGGTTATTTATTCGTTAGAATATTATATTTTTCAGTAGTTCAAAGAAAGCCATTAAAAATAACATTTTGATAATTTGTTTTACGATAGATAACAGTTCATGTTCATGATTAGTTAAAAAGTTAATATTATTCCTATTCAGTCATTTTTGTTCTCTTATGTACTTTCATAAATTTTTTTTTTAAATTAAAATACATTTTACACTTAAATACATACTTATGTTATAATTAAACATAAATATTTGATAAATAACTTTTGCACGCACAGGAATATAACAATTTACAAATATAAAATAAAGTTCATATTATTATTATCAACACTGTAAACTATAAATTTAATAATTTTAATAGTAATAAAATAACATACTGTATAAAAATGAATAACACATAGATTGACCTATGTAAAATATATATGTATATATATAAAAAAAACATAATATGTATGAGGAGAGTCAACTATTAATGTATAAGAAGTTGTTAACAAGGCAAGTTTATTGAGGCAGATAAATATTTCTAATATGTAGGTAATTACTAGCATTAGTACTACCACTTTTATTTACTTTATTAAATGAGTATTTACTGTTATGGAAATTTCTTTAATAATAGTACATTGGCATTAATTGTTTTAAACAAAAATGTAATAATCGCCAAATATTAGAATAGATTATTCTGAATTGGTTTTTAAAGTGATGTGGACAACATTTAGTTTAGGATTCAATAATAACAACTAACTAGGCTATATAATATATTTTGTAATAGAATAATAATGAATTACTATTATAATTCTAGAACAATTATACACAGATAATACAATTAAGACTGAATTGTGATAATAAATTAAAAATATATTTGAACCTAGTGTTAAATAAACCATACTATTAAATTAGGTAATTAAAATTAGTAATAACTAATTACATAAATATAAATTATCATTTAAATACAATATAACTGTTTGAAATAAATTGCACCATTTAACAGACTTTATGACTAACACTAGAATCTTATCATTGACTTAAGCTTATGTCATATTTCTAATACTAATTTAACAAATAAATAAAAGCTCAGTTTCTATAGAATTATCACAGAAGAAAAATCATAAGTTGTCGATTGTAGTAAATGTATATTTTGGAATTGGGTATATATCACATATTTTTTACATACTACCCAATTCCAGCACCTGTATTTACATATCACAGCAATGGATTACCCTGGATATTCAAGAGTGGCCACTTAAAATAAAAATAAAAACTTAAAAGAAAAAGAAAAACTTAAAATAAAATATATATAATATAAAAATTTGTTTTTACTTAATCTCAAAATGTAACAATAGTCATGGACAGGCAGTTTTATCAAGTCTTATAGAAAATCACTTGAGTAATTTTAATTAGTGTAAACGCGAGTATTATAACTAAATATTATATCTATTATCTATAATAAAAAGGATATTATTAATGCAGTCATTCATTAAATGTAAATATAATTCCTAGTCAAAAAAAACTAGAAGCTTACGTTCAGTAAGTATAATTCAGTTCTTTATATAAAAATTTAGTTTTTATATTTGGCTACTAAAAATAATTTGGTAGAACTGTGGAATTATGAATATAACTGTGCGTAAAATAATGTTTAAAAATAATCTTTTTCTTACTTTTATGTAATATATAAACTATATACCTAAAAATGTATATTTTTATGTAAAAAAATATTATATGTTATTACGATTGGAATTGAAAGTACTCGTTTTATTTGTTTATTCTAGTTGTTGGCAGTTGGATGTATGCGCTTTGTATGTCGCATTAGTGATGATTTCTGTGTAAACTCAATACCACACTCTTCGCACTTCAGTCGTTCACCAGTGTGGATTAGTTCATGTTTCTTAACTATAGCTTTGGCCCCATAAGTTTTACCACAAAAACGGCATGCGTATGATTTTTCACCTCCATTCATCCTGACTTGTATGACATCTTCTTGATGGTCACCATGCATTGCCTCCATGTGTATGTCCAATGATTCTTTAGTGGTGAATACAGCTTCACACTGTTCACATGCTAATTTGTCTTTATGTTCAGCTGCATGCAATTGCAATGTATTCAGATCGTCAAAAGACTTGTTGCACGCTGTACACTTGTATTGAGCAACTTCTGAGTGTAGCTTGGCATGTCTCTGCAATAATGTAAATCGATTGAATTCACGACCACAAATAGAACACGCACAGTTGTATTCGTCTGAGTGGCTTTTCATGTGTAATGCAAGACTGCAGTTACGATAAAATTTACGTCCACATAAATTACATTCACATGTTTTTTCAATAGTGTGAAAGGCAACAGTATGTTGCCAGAGAGCACCACGGTTGCTGAATTTATTTGGACAATATTCACACGAAAATGGAAAAAGAATTTCTGGTTGTTGTGTTTCTAAATTCCATGGTTCTACAGCAGGTTTTGGAACATCTTCATCGTCGGAGTAAACAGCTTCAACACTTGTCATCATGTCACGAATATCTACTTCAGATACTTCATTTTCTGTAGCTTTTAACTGCATCACAAAATAAAATACAAAATACAAATCTGATATTACACTATACATTATTGATTCAAACTAATATAAATAAAACTTTATACAATTTTTACAAATTTATTCTATTATTTTAGTGTAAATAACAATTTCATACATTTTTTTCAATATACAATCATCAACTATAATAATTTAATATTTGTACAAGGGGTTGAAAATGCAGGTCTCCACTTCCTAGTATTATACAATATTTTACCTGTTTTTCAACTGCAAATTTGTTTTGATAATTTGTTAAGTTACGGTTCCTAATAGTTAAACTTTTTTCATTGTGATGCCTGTAAAAAAATAAATTTAAGCATAATTATAGTATATTAAAAAAAAAAACAGATAGTCCAAATTGAAGTTCACATTCTACCGCAGTTGTATATAACATCTATAATAATAATTAATAGGTAATATAAAAAATATTGTAAGCGTTAATATAATTCAGTTTTATAAAGAATACAGTTTTAATGTTGTATAACAAACTAAAGGAAAAATAATTAAATAACATGGTAGCTTTTGTTTGTATTATTTGCTTTAATTCATTTCAAAATAGAAATAGAATAATTGGATTTTTAGAAAATTCAAGATAAGTGGACATCATAACAGTATGCCATTGTGTTGACTCTGTCTTACAATTATTATACAACGTTGCAAATTTTTGTTCAGCAGTTCTGATTTTGTATTGTTGGGTTAAAATAATTATAATAAATTGACGAACTATCTAACTTACTTAAAGATAAATACCTATTATTTTTGTTTTCTTGTTGATTTTTTACAATATTTTAATTTTCAATTGCGTTATGACTTATGAGTATGTAACATTATATTTTAAAATGCTCATCACTGTCTTATAAAATTAAAATATTGTAAAAACTAACAAGAAAAGGCAGATTATCGTCTTACCTTAAATATGATGGTATCTTAATTTACTCATTAAAGCTAACAACAAAGAATTGAAACTGCTGGACATTAATTTTGTTATAGGTTTAAAAATCGAAAATGAGACAATACATGTGGGTGTTATGTAATCTTATTTCATCATCACTGCAGCCAATAAATTCATTAAAAAGAATAGGTGTGTTTCCTATAGTAAACTGATAAAATACAGAGAAAACCATATTCCATACAAGTAATATCAATATTTTTGGTTATTCTATTTTTGGATTTAAAAATAGGGAATTTGAACTTGACATTTCAAAAAATTATTAAAATAGGTTATACAATTGTTTTAGTTAAAATCTACAACATACCTAGGTATTGCATAAGATTTAGATATTAAAATTGTTTAAAAAGTTTTAGGTACTTACACAGTGTTTTTATTAGGTTTATTTGAAATTTCAATGGTACACTCGGCTAATAGTGTAGCCGGTAGTTTGATTGGAAAATCATTGGCAGCGAATATACCCTTGCGTCCAGAATGTCCATTTTCTGACTTGACTTGCCTGAAACCCAAATAAACACAATTCACTGATAACTGAACATTAAACATAAATTGTTTTC